GATCGAAGAAGAAGATGTGCAAAGTGTGAGACAACCAATGGCAACAAAGAAAACTACAAGAGGACATACAGGAGACACCAGACACCAATGAACTGTCATAGCGACTGATTTACGACACCCATGTCTGAAGAACATTTAATTGCAAAGCCTCATTACCCTGGAGCCATGACATCTATATGCCTTGAAACACTTAATTGCTGTTATTTATAAGATGCTAATCGCCATTTTTGTATACATCGACCGTCTGCCATCCTGCTGATGAATTACTGTTTACATTTATATTTATTACTTACTAAATGTCAGGTGACCTTGGCTATATAAGCCTTGGTCGAGAGAGATTGAAAAAAAAGAAAGAAAGAAAGGTCTTACCCTTAGCCTAGCTAGGGTTAGGCTAGGTGCTCCGGGGCACCTAGACAACAACCTCTACCACTATGTGCTGACCTGGCACATAGTGTCTTTTGTATGTATATATCTACATGTATAGAGTAAAACTGTATGTACCGCAAGCCATCAACTCCAAGTTGTCATTTCCTACTGAAAGCCATACGTCGGCCCCTTGCATATATGAGTATGCAAATTATTCATTAATCAATGTCGGATCACACGAGTTGTTAGAACCGTGACCAAGAAAGCTATCTGCATTGGTGCTTGGGACTTGTCTGTGCTAATTACCCAGCTGGTTTCCATTTGTCCATTGCTAATTACCTATCATCGCTATTTAACTGTTGGCTTCCCTTGTTATGTTTCCACTGTTGTTATCTTGTTACTTTTGTTGTTCTTACATGTACATATATTTGCTCTCTGCTTCCTTGCATTCATTCAGATGATGAAGGAGTAAACACATACTCCACAATGTTGTGTTCCTCATAATAAAGAAATGGACATCCAAAAATTCTCTCCCTTCAGTTTTTTTCTTTTTATGTTTATGTTCACTGCTGCCAGCTATCTAGGTTACCAGATGTCAGATCCTTGTATTCTGGCTTTGATGTGATGAATTAGGATATTCAAAGAAGTTATCAAACAATAGTTATCTTTGTGTATAATTCTAAGAATACAAACTCTATTACATCAGGAGTAATCCATCTCATCTACCCGTCCCAATGTATCTAGGATGTTGGTTATTTTATGAAGTGAGGTTTTCCTGCCTTCAGCAGGTGCATTAGAGCAGTTCCTGTACTGTTTCCCACGTATTGACTTATTAGACAGCTGGCAGTGAAGAGCACATCTGTTGAAAAATCATTAGATTTTATCTTGTGAGGACATCAAAATGCAGGAATATGGATATGATGTAGGTGACATTTTTTTTATTACTTGGTTTACAGATGTGCCGCTCCTTCAAAGTCCAAATGTTGAAAAAAAAAAGAATAATTCACTCCATTTTTTTATTACGACCGATCTTTACTGTAAAAAATGCCTAAAATGTTCAAACAAAAAACGATTTCATTTGCTTTGCGAGTGTAAACCAAAGGGAAGTCGCTCTGATATTCTCGCTGGGATCCATCAAAGCTTGTCAATGCAATGCAAAGTGGTGACCAGTTAAACTCTTTCAACACTGTTGGCCGGTACACCGGTCAAGAAGCCACAAGTAACCAGAAAAGGCAGGCAGGTAGACCGGCCAAGTCACGTAAAAATAGTATATAATTTTATCAACCTACCTGTCATATCATTCATTTATTAAATCTATCACATTTCGCAATGTCTGAAATACATATTCCATTTCAATTTATCAATAGATTAAAATATTATTCAATTATTTCCCGCAATGTTATTGAAAATAAAATTCTCAGACACACACTTCGACAACGGGTCCTCATCAAACATGTCAGACAGCAAAATAAAGACGTTTCAAGCAAATCTTTAAATATATTATACAAAGTAATAAATAAAATCAACAAAAATATATATAATGGTTGCCAAACTGACATCTAAGTTATTATTCCATCTTTTTGTGCAATTGCGCGTAATTTAAGTCAAATGACATCTGGGCTTTCGTCGCCTCTATTTCCTGGCTCGTACATGATGTTTAAAGCCAAAATATATGCATAAAAATCTTTGTCACAGCTAGTAACCTAGCACTATACATCCATGAAATTCCATATTTTTAATCTAGATCGCGATTTCCTGCTTAAAATGTTTGGAATAACATGATTTAACCAAAACCTTTCGTCAAAATCTTAAAATTATCATACACGAGGACGGTACTGTTGCTGTAATTTTATTTGTTGTCAACATGTGTTCGACTCGATACAGAAATCAATAATTATACACTTATCTTGCTGAACATCATCTTTAAATCCTTGTTGTATCGCAGCCATTTGAAAGTCGTTAACCACGACTTACAAAAGGATCTACCAGACTTGGGGGGGCTTAGCAGATACACCTGACTGATCTGAATCAGACTGGCTGTCTTCTAACTTGCGTTTCTTGTCAGAGGTGATGTATTGCAACATTGTGAATTATGATATTGCTGACTGCATGGTTCAAGGTATTTATTGCCAAGTCTTGACAAGCTTCACTCAATTGACACAAAATTAACTCATTTTAATTAATCCTTGAGCTACGACTCCAATCAGTGTCACTTACCTGTGTTGTTTGATGTTGACCGATAGCGTCCATTCACCTTTGCAAGTAGTGTACACACTAATTAACAACAAAAACACGTGTCAGTCTGGTTGCAGCTCTTTATTTTGAGTTCTTTGTAATGATATACGGTCTCAGGTTGTCATGTCCGGCTAATACTTTTTTCGAAAATGTCTGTTGGCAAATTTTAAAATGTCTGGTTGGCCCTATTTCAAATCGGACATTTTGCAGTCACAGTCGGGCAAGTCCGGGGCACAGACCGGTTTCCGGATCCCTGCTTAGGTCACATGCTTAAATTTGACCAATCACGAACCTTGTAGTAGATTTCGACAAGAAAGCGTCACGTGAAACTAATTTTTTAATGACACGGCTAAGAAAAGACTCTGTATCATCATTATGTCAGTGAAACAATATAAGTTATTTTTATGGATACTAACATGGCAGCCTTCGACGTTCGTATTATTCATACAAAGCTTCGAAAATAGAGGTCTTTCCTCATGTTAGTGAGCGGAAAGCCACTATTATCGGGAAATGGATACTATTTGTAATTCTTTTTAAAATAATTTTCCGATTACATGAACAATGAAATTAAAAAAGAAATGGGCCAGTGGATTTTATAAAATCTTTTATTTGCCGAAAATCGTTAATGTGTCGCTTCCTTGGTTCTTAACCTGGACGTTATGAATGTGTTAGCTTACATTATTATAGATTATTAGATTTCCCTCTACCACTATCAAACGGGTCCTCTGTCTTGCTGTAATCCCACCCCATACCATAACGCTACCGCCCCCGAACCGATCTTCTTCCATGACACAAGGGGCGGTCGGGTAGCCTAAAGGTTAAAGCGTTCGCTCGTCACACCGAAGACCCGGGTTCGATTCCCGACATGGGTACAATGTGTAAAGCCCATTTCTTGTGTCCCCCACCGCGATATTGTTGGAATATTGCTCAAAGCGGCGTAAAACCATACTCACTCACTCACTCCCTCCATGAAACAATTATTGACGTAACGTTAGCTCGACGTCGGTACACTCGAATCCGTCCATCGCTGTGACTGAGGTGAAGACAAGACTCGTCAGTGAATAGAACTTGTCCCCACTGCATGGCCGTCCAACATAGACGCTGTCTGCACCAATGTAGACTTGCTTGACAGTGGTTTCCTGTCAAAATGGGGCGTCTGGCGGGTCTTCTGGCGACAATCCCTGCGCATCTGAGGCGACAACGTACGGTTTATGAATATATTTGTCGAAGGCCAGGGATGCTTCTTGCAGTCACTGTTGCTGGCTGGAATTGATTTCTTAGGTGTGTTGTACGAAATCCAGTTGTCTTGTTGATTATTAGTTAAGCGTGGCCTGCCACTCCGAGGATGGTTTCTGACTGCTTTCGTCTGTTGCCAATGTTGCCAAAAACACCAAATGGTGTTTCTGTGGACGTTAAATTGTCTTGCAACATCACGTTGACTCGATCCTGCTTCAAGCATGCCAATGGCTCGCAGATGCTCATTTTCGGACAGGCATGGCATTTCGTAATGTTGAATAATTGCGTAATTTGGTTGTTTTTCTGAGTGGTTGTTGTCAGCATGATGCTAAACAATGCATATGAAATCCCGTTAACGCACATGTTTTTATACCCATTCTTGGGTAGTGAAATGCATGGGGCTTGCATAAAAGTCAACTTATGCATGGAATGCATGCTTTTCTGTAGCAGTTGCGTTTTTGTGACTTGATTCCATACATGTACTACAATATTGAAAACCAAACTTTACTTGTTTGAAAAATACACTAAAATATTGGTGTCACAGGAACTTTTGTTGTTGAGTATAGTATTTGCATTGGTGAGGTTTCTCATTTTGTACTGATCTGATGGCCCCATTCACAATTCAAATTCAGGGTGTGGGCAATTTTTTCTGTATCTTGCATGATAGTCTGTATAATTTGTAGTTCCTATTCTACACATGCAGGCCAGGAATTTGGCTAATCTCTCTACCGCTGCACCTCCCTTTGTGTGAAGTGACAATTACCACATTTCAAAACATCATAGTTTCTGAAGCTACTTTTCCAATTATTGTTGTTGAACATCAATTTAACTCCTGACTGGGTACAGGGTATTCAAAGGCATATGCCAGATTAGATTTATAGATATTTTTAGATATTTTGCTGTTCATTAGTGTCATTTGAAGGCAAACAGAAGACAGTTTTCTAGTCATCGTGGTCTTGTGGATAGAGCTTCTGCCTGGAGAATGAAAGGTCAATGGTTCCATCCCCAGCCATATCATACATTAAGAGATGGTACCTTTTTTCCCCCGCCTGGCAAGAATTGTGCAGTGAGGCTCATAATATCTTGTTTATCTTGTCCGCTGGGATACATCAACATTCACTCACTCATTCCTCCCAAGGTGTACACCGCTGTGATGTTTTCAGACTCTACTGCCAGCTGCCAACATCCTACAGATGACCGAAGTGCGGGAAGCCTGCTGTGAGTTCCTGCAGGCACAGCTGCATCCCTCCAACTCACTAGGCATACGTGACTTTGCCGATCTACATGCCTGCACTGATCTCAATAACTATGCTCAGACCTATACAGAGCAACATTTCACGTGAGTACAACACACTCATAAGTGCCCTCATAGGCTTATGGAGAACATTGATATGTTCCTTTCATCCGCCTATTGATGATTATGATGCACCTTTTAGAAAGGACTGATTAATGTGTTTATTTTTTTCTTTGCTGCTGCTGTCAAACGTCTTACTCTGTGACTTTCTCACTATATCTGTCAGAACCTTCACTATTTTACTTGTGTGTAATCATTTAGATCATATGGATACCAAAAACAGTATCTTACGAAAGCTGAATGAAAACAGTCGTTGCTCCTGTTGCTCAATTTTAACAGCTTAGTGTTCTTGGCTGAACATGAGCAAGTAAAAAGTGTACCACCCTCGAGCGGTCTCAGGTATTTCTGAACAGCTAACACAAGATGAGTTCTGGCATTTGAATTATTTACATTATCAGCATATTTCTACCCTTTGCCTATGTTGGCTCAGATGAACAACCTTGACATGCTATTGCGAACACTGAGCTTGTTGGGCAGTTCTAAAAAACCCTGGAATGCTATTCTGAACACTAGAAGAGCTTTATGAATGTTTGTAGCTGAAGTTTCATTGCTATACCATGATACCATTTGTTTCTTTGTACTCTTCGAAAAGAAAGGCAACCAGACGTTCTGACCTAGTCTGTTACAGGTACATGGTATAGTATTAAACTGAATGAATGTGATGTGCCAGAGGTATATGAAATTCTGATTAAAGTATTGATCTGCCTTACACCCCGTCACTGTATATATTAACTACAGGAGTGAAATACCATCTTGCACCTTGCTACCATCCATCATGTCATAATTCTTTTGAATACCTTACCTCTATTACAACATTCATCAATCCCATATTTTGACTGTCCTCACACTAAAATCATTTTGATTAACAGATGCCCTCTTCACTGTCAGCCATTCCCTATTAGTCTTTAGGAAAATCTTAGGGGCAGGAAAATGTCACCGCTGTCCTGTGCGTGCAAACAACACTGGATTTTTTTTCAGAGAGTTAAACTCAAGTTATGTTTATTTTCACACCATAATTTGTATGGTTCTCCAAGTTAAACAGACACTTATTTGTAGTCCTTATCTGCTTTTTTCTGAATAGAGGATAATCACGTAAGTAGATTGTATTGTTGAGCTTATTGTGGAGTTCGACTCCAATAGGATCTTATGTCTACCCAAATGTGGATGTCAGTTCACCTTCCCTTCCTCAGAGGCGTCATTTCCTCATCCTGGTTCGCTCTCAGATATCTGAGCTTGTCAAGAAAGCTGATGGCTCTCAGCCACTCACATCGCCAGAATTCTTCAACAAAGTACTCCACACGGTATTAGACGAAGTTCGTTGGGAAACAGAAGAAAGATTCCAGGTTTCCACTGTCAGTATGGAAGTGAAAGCTCTTTTCAAGCCCTGTCTTGGAAGGAAATCATCACTCCCCTACTTTGCTGACAACAGAGATGGCTCCAATTATCAACAACACCATAGGTGGAAGAGGTACTGGACTTCAACATTATGCCACAGTATAAAAAGAATAGGAAGTTTATTACGACCAAGCGCTGGTTACTCGAGGTTGTGTACAAGTTGCAATTCCACCAACGTCTAGCTCTTGTATCCCAGCCTTTTGGCTGTCGGTTTCATCTGATAGGACCCAAGTTGGCGGCTGTGGCTGCCTTTCCTCCAACGTTTATGGATTATCTCACTCGGTGGTTTTGTTGTGCAAATGTCAATGAGGCATTCCCCTGCCTTTCCCTGCACCTGAACACCATGTGTTCATGTAACTCTCCAATGCTTGTAGACTATCATACAGAAGATGTGGGATTCCAGCTACGCCAGTTCTGTGGCTACCTTAGTTTCACGTTCTTGGATACCTTCTTTCTTCACTGTCTGCAGATAGAAAAAGTTCTGCTAGTGGCACAGAAGATGAGGATGGGATATGGTACCTGTAACGGTTCCCATGCTGGCAGATTGTCTTCTCCACCTTTGACAAGATAACAATGTCCGCCACAGCACTATTGAGGGATACAGTTCTGCCCTAACATAATTTCTTTGCCTTCAACACACATTCCCTAAATACATTTAATCAGTTGTACTGCTGGTTCTTTTGGGAGATCATTTTAAACCTTTACCCTCTTCAAAGGACCAAATGTCACGCCGAAGACACAGGTTCGATTCCTGACATGGGTACAATGTGTGAAGCCCATTTCTGGTGTCCCTTGCCGTGATATTGCTGGAATATTGCTAAAAGCGGTGTAAAACCATACTCATCATCATTATCAAAGGACCAAAAGTTTGTCTTAGCTATGGCCACAGCATAAAGAGCATTGGAAATTTGTGCCATTGATATTTCCAGCCTCACACAGTCATGCACTGGATTAGACTTTCTCTGCATATAACACAATGCCTAGCCGAACAGGAAATAAAATTTAATCAGTAAATCATCATGTCTAGTGATGTTTCATCTCAAATTTCAAATTTGTATTGACTAAGTTTAATGTTTTTTACCGTGTGTATTGTATCATAACTAAGCACTGTCATATAGCTGGAATATTGCTGAGTGCGGCATTAAACAGCAAGCAAACAAGTCACAACTAAGCCAGAAGCAGCAATCACTGTAGACATGTTAAAAATCCCCCCCTTATATGACTTTAAAGAATTTTGATACAATTTATCTGAAACTATTATTTTATCAGGTATAATATATTCCAATATCAGGTAATTTTAGTTGCAGCTTTACTATATATTTTTAAAATAAACTAATAACCATAAGCATAGCACTATATATATATATATATATATATATATATATATATATATATATATATATATATCCATTCTCTGTCCACTGGAAGGCGTCAATAGTGTTAACCTGACCGTGGTTGCTGTAAATAACGGTGAGTTGTGCAGTCTACCGATCATCACTTCACACACGGTTTCGCTGAGATGAATGTAAACAATATTGAAATAAATTTTGAACAAAATTTATAAAATAGATTACAAACACAAGTCCAGATATACATTAAACACTTTTTATAACCAGAAAGTGTAATTACATGATTAATTTGCATACTTCAGTACAGATTCTAGGAACGAAAAATATGGTATCCCACACCCAAATATGTTGGCAGAGGATATAGAAACGGGCTCCATCCATCCGCCCATCTATCACGTTTCATTTCTGGAGCAGAATTCGAAAACCATAAGAGATATCTATAAAAAACTTGGTGCACACATTCACCAAAATGTGTAGTTGTGCCTTTTGTTATTCAGATTTCCCAATCCAAATATGTGGTGGTTGGTTTCTCTCGTCTCACGGGGCCAAATCTAGGTGTGGACTGTCTGGACTGTGAGAAGTTTGTGTTTTACCTTACCTGACGCTACACAGTGCTTTAGCTTCCCTACCTTATAAAAACAGACAGTACTGGAACAAAGAGACAGTTTAAGCAGACTACAGCCCGTGCCTCGGCATCCAAATCCCCCTTGGCTCCTACTCCTCATATTCTTCTCTGTCTGCCCTACGGACAGACGTGTACAGGAACAGAGTTCAACTTACCTAGTTAATTATCTTAAAATTTTGTTTTTAGGTGGGGTTACTTCCATATTTCCTTTCTATGCTGGATATATCTGCTTGTTTGTGGTTTATAGCTTGTAATTCGATTTTTATTCGTGACTGCGTAACTTTGCTCATTTTGCGCCTTGGTCGCCATTTCAACTCCGTGCATCTCGTGTTTACGAGGTTGCGTGTTAATGTCCCTTTTTTGCTATAGTTTTCTTAAGCTATTGGTGAATCTCTCATTTATTTTGTTGATTATGGCTTTCTATTGACAAAATTCCTATTAATTAGGCGTATTATGTTTTTGAATTGCTTCAAGTCGCGCTTCACACTGTGTTGTGGTTTGTGTGTTTGTGCGCTTTGTTCACATATTGTCCAGTAACATGTTTTGCTTCATATGTGATTCTGCTCGTTACACTTATGCGCTATTTACCTTTTTTGCAGAATGTATTCTATGCCTTTTGCTTTAAGTAAAGGGCCCAAGTCGAGGGAAAGCCCACATCATCTTTGCCCCTGCTGCAAGCCTGCGTGCTCATTTGATCATTGCTACTCTGTTTGCGCTCTCATGCAACAATTACAGACTTTAATTATTACAGAAAGGCTCTTCTTCGTTGCCAGAAATAACTTGCTTATAGGAGGAAGATGCCTGGTACTTCGCCGCCACCAACGTCTCCCTCTCTGTCGAATCCGGCCCCTGCGCCTTCGGATCAGACTCAGCGACGATGGTTCCTTCGGGTGCTCCTCCCCAATCTAGGCCATCTGCGCCGCTTGATTTTATGAATTCTATGGCCTTTCGTGCCTTTTGGGAGTAATCCTTCAGCATCGTCCAGACGACCTTCTTTGACTCCTGTCAGCTCGCTCCCGCCAGTCGCAATCAACAACAGTTTCGTCTCCTTGGTAACATGAAATGTCTCCTTTCATCACAGCTCTCTCAGCAGCGAAAGTCATATGTTTGGAAGAGAACTAGTCTGAAGCGGAAGTCCGCTTCTTTTCGGTCCTAACGCCAGTCCAAGTTGAGACCTACAAGCCCCCCAGCTGAGGACGCTTTTTCGGCGGGGACCGGCGCTGGGAGTGACTTTCTTCGGACGCCCAACAACTGGCAACTCCTTGTACTCCTTCAACATTGTCCAGACGACCTTTTTCACTCCCGTCAGCTCGCTCCCGCCAGTCGCAGGGTCGGAGTTCCCGTGCCTCGTGAGATATGTCTTCCTGCCGTTCTTCTGGATACTCCTGACGACTCTACTGCTGCCTTTTTCAAGCGCCGTCGTCAGTTATTGCCGGCAAAGGTCGCCAGTTATCTCCGGATCATACTCAGGTGTCACCGGATCGTCCTCAGGCCTCACCGGATCGTCACCAGCCGGCGCCGGACCGTCGCCTTGTTTCATCGCTATGGATCACCAGCTATCACCGAATCGTTGTCAGCTATCGCCAGGCCGTCGGCAGCGCTCGCTATTATGGCCA